GGTAGTCGTCGTCGGGTTGCTGTCTTTTCCGTTTTGCCCCTGGACGGCTGGTCTTGGCGTCCTCCGGTCTGGAATCGTGCCTGAATTTCTTCTGTTGGTGGTGGTCTTTTCGTTCCTCCTGCTGTCTTTTCGTTCTCGGGAACGGCGGCCTTGTTTGCACCTGACTCTCTGGCCCTGGAAGCGTTTTCCTCGATGCAGAATTTCTACTGCGATACGTTGTAAGTGGTGTTTTCCTCTTTACCAAAGCTTCTTTACGCGGCGGCGTTGCTTTCTTGTATTTCTTAAATGCTGGAGTCTGAACGTTTTCATTTCTTCTTTTCGGTACCGTCGCATGACTTGTAGCAGGGCTAGGTTTCTCTTCAGTTCTCTGCTTCTTGGGTGGTGGAGCGGGTGACGTTACTTCTGGACCTTCTACTTCTTTTACGCTTGAGTCCTGCAAGAAACTTTTAAGGATTTCAAAATCATTTTGATTATAATATTTTTTCACCTGGTCGGGACTTGCTTTACAGATTTTCCCCTCTCTCGTTCTTAAGGTACAATACGACTCCCTTTATTTCCTGAATTACATAGGGGCCTTCAAATTTTGGAGCTAACTTTGCAGTAAAATTGTCTGGGGCACTTGATAAAGAAAATTTCCGCTTCAACACTTTATCCCCAACTTTAAAATCTGCTTCACGGCGTTTTCTATCATAGTATAATTTTTGTCTATTTCTTGCCGTATCCGAGCTTTTAACCGCCTGGTCAATGAGTTTTACATCTTTTTTTAAATTCTTGCTCTCTTTGTTGCACAAAGAATAATTTATCTAATGGCGTAATTAACTTCCGTCCTAAAAATAATTCTGCTGGAGTTTTTCCCGTAGTATCGTGATTTGCCGTTCTTAAAGCATAAGCTAACTCATTTATGTAGCCTCCCGCGCTGTTAAAGAAAAACTTCGACTGTTCCTTATTAACTCGATACTTCGCGACATTGCTCTTGGCTCTACAAATTACTATTGCATGGCATCCAGGGGAGTAGCTTAAGAAGAAGTTAAATTAATAAAAAAATAAATATAAACCCTACAAACATACATACATTTATGCAGATCTTCTTTATTTAATTTCTTCAAATATACTACAGGGCCATAAGTGGCAACGATTTGAAAAGTGATACGCCGTTTATAAGGCTGCGACGCAAATTCGCAAAAGGAAAACAGAAGTCCTTCAGGGACATAGCCCCTTTGGATTAAAAATATCTTCGAATTTGAATAATATTTATATCACATTTTAAATGAACGAGCTCAGTTTATAGATTTTCTAGTGCGTTATTCATGTTCGTTTTAATTGCAATGAAAATAGTATAAATTCAGCCTTCAAATAACTAAAATCTTATAATATTTTCTACAAATAACATAATTCAAATGTTTTCGCAAGCTACTAGTTTGAGACCACTGATCTGCACAACAAATTACGTCATATTTGGAGTAGCCGGTGTTGATTAATTGACTGAAATTGCTTGCAGTTTATGAGATATAATAATGCAACAAAGAAAAGAGGTAAGACACTTTTATAGAAATAAACTTAGCAGCAGGAAAAGCATGAAACACCTTATTATCAGGAACATTGCAAGATTTAGTTTTTTCCTTGGAAAAATATTATTTTATTTTTTATGGAAATCAAGGCAACTATATTAACAATTTCAACGTATTCGACAACAGTTTCTTTTATTGTATCTAAATTATTTAGCCAATTTCTTTCCTTATTTTGATATTCAAATTATTACAAAATTTTGCTTCTAACACTTTTATATATTTTTTCATATAGATCACGAAAACATCTCTTGCCTAATTCAGTAAAAATCAACTTCTTTACCGATTAATCTTGGGTTGCTCTATATTAAAATTTTATTTGTGTTTTAAACTCTTGATACAGATTGAAAGGTAAACTTCTTTACGCATGACGTGCTGTAAAACTACTCGTGAAAATGGCATTGAACACTAAACTGTTTACTCTTCAGTTAGGTCAATATCTATTATGTCCGTCTTGCCTATATACCTAAGTTTCGTTTAAGTTTTTTTAGCTCTTATTTGAATAGACTATACTTTTGAGGGATTTTCGGTAATATTTTATTCTTAAAAAGGGGAAATATACTGTTATTTCTTTCTAAATATTATTCTAAATATTAATTGTATTTATAAACCTGCAGTAGGGTTTGGTTTCAAAAATTATTAGTATATTTATGTAGGTGCAAGACCCTCCTGTACCAGTTACGTTTAATTTTTCATCTTTAACTGATAAAGTTTAATGCAGGGCAGAAAAAAGCCTTTGCCCATTCACAACATAAATATTAAAACAAAATAATCAAAAATAAAAAAATCTGAAAGATTTTAGATTTTAGATTTTACATTACGCCTAAAGAGACTTTTTTTAACCTTTTGTGCGTTATCTTTATTTATTAAATATCATGTTCTTCGCGCTTAAACCATAAAATTCAATTCAACAGCAATATCGCAAAATAATTTTAAAATGAGTAATATCTTTAGAATTTCCGAAACACAGTCTTGCGCTCTGGAGATAAAATTCTTTTTTGTACAGTTTTGCCATTATTTGCTTTGAACTCGTTGAATTTGTTAATCAAAAATTCGTTGAAGTGTTACAAAATATGAAATCGATAATAAAACAAATTTCAAATTCCAAATTAGGGCTTCCACGTGCCCAGATTGCGAAGATTGCGTTATTCAAAATTTGATGACTCTAGGTACCGTTGTTTTATCACAATGCGAGTGCCATATATAAATTTATGCAGATTCTTCCTTATTTAATTTCTTCAAATGTAACACAGGAAGATAATATTTGGTGGCAACAATTTGAAAAGTGAACCGGCATTTAAAACTTTCAGCTCAAAATGCCAAAACAAAAGTAATAGCTATTCTGGGCTAACGCCTTTTAGGATAATAATAATCTATATATACATATATTTCCTTGTTCAATTTGCGCAGCTGTATTTGCAAATCTATACATAACGCACGTCCTTCATATTGGTGGACTGTAAATGATATGTATGGGGCTGCCTTTTGTGAGAAGCTAATGAAGGCAGGTGTCATAAATACAAACATGCAGATGGTTAAATCTTCCTGTCTGTTGAAACAACGGTTATAACATAGGAGATTTATGTCATATTTGCATGTATAACCAATTAATAAATATTACAACGCATTTTTTCTTGAATGCCTTTTTAATAAATTATTTTTTACTGAATTAATATCCCTAATAATAAGGATTATAATGTTGACTCTGGCTCATCGAAAAACGATTTTAAGGGAAATAACTGTAGGGTCGTTTAAGGCTCTCAAGCATTCCGTATTACATAAACACAAAGATTCAAAAGATGTTACATTAATTTTTCATAAATTCTGTTTGGATATTAAAAGCATTTAAGATACTGTTTGGATGTTCGAAAATTTCCACTTATCTAAGTTCGAGGATTTAAAGTTTTACTGTGTCTAATTTTTTTTCTATAGGCGACACCCATTGCAATATAACAAATTGAGAAGTTAGAGGTTATTTTAATAACACAATAAAGCACACGAAAGCCTTCTGCTTAAGGGGAACGGATGGCTTCGTGGAGAACTTTTTACTGTAAACTGGTGCGTACATACGCTACACATAGGGAAATCATAAAAAACAACCTTGCAGCCAGCCCTTCGCCCGGAATTTAATCCAGATTCTAGTTTTCAGCAGTTTTAACTACTCAGCCAATGGTGCCGACAAGAAACTGGAGGCAAAAGCAACTAAGATTGTAGAGTCATTAGGTTAATTGGAAGCACAAAACATGAAAAATAAGCAATCGCCTTCGCCGGGAATCGAACCACGGACCTCTGGAATACCGACCCAGCGTGTTACCGTTACACCACGAAGGCACGCTAGGGAAGTGGGAGAAATACCTTATAAGATAAGATAAATGATAAGATAAGTGTTTACTGCAGATTTTATCAGCGGCTGAATATTAAACTGGGATTGTTTTCGTATGCTTTTGATCTCAGATGTCCTTATCTTTACGTCTAATTTTCAACAAAAATGTGTTCACTTTACATTTGTTTCAAAGATCGGCCCGCGATATTTATAGACCTATAGAAATGCCATCTGCTTGAAAACATGAATCGTGCACTAAAGTTTTGATTAAATATATCAAATATTTTATTCTTTCTGTAGACACACTGTGTCTGTTTATTGCTGCTACGTTTACTATGATACACAGCAGAAAAGTACTATTCTGATTCTTCCCCCAGTGACGGGCACTAACCATTATAGACGTTGGATATTATTAAAGCCGAAAGCAGTGGTCACTTTATTACGAAGACACCTAATACGTGGACCACCGTTGCCTCCTATAAAGGGACAGACAATTTATAGCCATGCATTCTCCGGGATTCGAAACCGAAACCTTCGATACGGCAGATAGAGTCACTAACCCCATTCCTGTGTGGGCGCCAAAATTTCTGATGTAAAATTAGGTAACATTTAGCCTTATATTCGTATACCAAAACTCGGTGCGTTTCTGTTCGTTTCATTAGATGGCACTGTAATCGCTGTTTCCTTTTGATTTATACATTTTCATTTCGTGAATCAAAATTGCACATTTTTGTTGAAATTAATACTTCAAATAAGAACCACGTTAATTTCCAAGTCAAAGTTTTAAAACTTTTCCTAAAATCTTAATAGCTCAATGAATAATTTTTCTGAATTTGTAGCATAATGTGAGAATAGATTTGATTTTTTCCCCTTGCAAAAAAACAATGCAAAAACAAATTTTTTTATCATTTCACTTGCTAATTTGTCGGCAAACTTGAATTATATCAAAAGAAGAATTATCTTAAAGTACTCAACTTCACTTTCTTTCGAGATCTAACAAATCTCGAGAGATCAACAAAATCAAGTGTCTTCTGATAATACTTCATCTAGAACTGTCTGAAACCTTTACCGCTAGAACATGATACGCTCCTTCTGAGGTATGAGTACCGTTAAGTGGGAAGAGGGAAAAGAAAAATACTTCGCAGCTGTTAACAATGAAACACACCTGGGCAAACGAAATCTCCGTTTGTGACATCATAAATCCGGCAGAGGGAAAACGTAATCTGGGAATATCTCTCAGATTCATGCTAGCAGAGAGACACAAACTAACTTAGAGTAGCATTTTTATCAGTGCAAAGCATAAATTTCTAGATTTCTGTACGACTTTGCGGTTGAAAATTTTATTTTCTTGCTTAATTCATCGAGAGATGGCTATCAACTGGATAGAGTACATTTTAAAATAATTTTTACTTTATGAACTAGTACAAGCTGCTGATCAATTTCTTGCTCTTTCCTTTATGGGTGAAAGGTAGAGGCGATTATTAGTAAATTGTTATTTTATATATTACAGCGTTTTAGATTTTATGAAGGTTTTTTCCTTTAGTATTACGTTGTAACGTTTCTTTCTGTTGAATTTTATCTAGGAGATTACTGATTGAAGATTGTTCGCTCGAATGCATTACATGGAACTGATAAATCTGATTTAGAACCCAGTTTCCCGGACAAAACTTTAAAAAATAGTACTACTTGATTTTTATTCTGTGGCAACGAAGATTAAATGGGGCAGTTTTGATAGCGATTACGATAATATTTTTTATATTGTCATCATAGCTGTGAAGATAATTATTTCTCGAATTCTGTTATTTTTATTAGCCTTACTTTAAACTGAGTTATCATCAGTAACTGCATTTCCATATACCATTTGGATCTGGTTAGGAATATAAATATTCGCTTTGTTTGTTTATTACATTCATCAACTTTAATGCATTTTTGCTATGAGCTGATCATTGTATCTTATTTATCAGAGTGATAATCAATATTATTTATGTAACAAACATTTTTTGAGATACAGTGAAGTATGCAGAAGTTTCATTTTTCATTATGATGGAATAGATAAATTGTTATGTTGACTTGCTTGTAAAGGCATCATTTATTGTTGATATATATACTATCGCAAATATATCCAAACAAAGCAGAATTTAATCAAAATCCACTCAATTCAGATCTTTAACTGTTTTTTATCCTAATAAGTATGTTCTGGCATGTTAGTTAAGGCTTTATTCTTTTGTTTTCTGAAGTTCTACGAGATTTAAATACACTGCAAATTTAAGTTGCCAATTACATTTCCAAAGCATTTAGTGAAATCTGCAAGATTTATATTATCTACAAATTTTCGGTTTTTGAAACATTTAGCTTCATGAAATACCAGACTTTCATAAGTCCTGAACCAATTGACTCCAGCGAAGACGAGTCAAGTTACGTTCTGATGAGTTTGTTTAGACGTTCTGAAACTAGTGGATATTCAGTATGGAGTGCAGCAATATTTATCACGTCCCTTATGGCAGGGATGGGTGTTCTAGCATTACCGCATGCCTTAGCAGGAACAGGTAAGTGGCTATGAATTACCGTTTATCTGTTATATTACATATTACTTTATTGTATTAAATGATTAATTTTATTTAATAATTTTTGTCCTCAGAATCTCTGAAATGTAGTATTGGTTAATATTTATTGTGAATTATAGATGTATATGATTTACAGAAATATTCAGTTGTATTATTGACCAAATTAAAAACTTGTTAGTCATATGTACTACTTTTAAATATTTTGGTATGTTTCTCTTTTATGACGCGTATAATATTCTAGCTGTTATTTAGTCTTTAGTCGGGTTTTCATCCGCAGAGAACCCGTTGGCGCTTCGGGAAAGAACCCTTTGGCGCCGTTGCAGTTTTACTCGCCAAGCTCGCGGCTCATCGAGGATGAGCCGAGCCGTAAGCGTGATATTTTGTAAACGTGGTTTTTAGTGATGTAAATTCAAGTTAGCAGACAATGGTAGTAAAAATTCACAGATAATAAGTATGTAGATATAAAACTAACAGGTTAAACGTGATATACGAAAATAAATTTCTATTAAATTCAAGTTAGCACAGAAAACAATGTATTAAACATAACGAAGTAAAAATTCCTTTAAAAAAAGCAATTAGTATTCTTATACTTACGTTTACAATATACTTATATGTATTTTCTCTAATTCATATAGAATACTAATATTTCTATTACAAATGTCTTTTTTCACTATTAAGTACTTTGCCTGTTGATTGATGTATTTCGGTAAGAGCCATGCCCATGTAATAAATTAATGAAAGCATGACTTTAATATATCCATTTTACATAGTTTTAAGTATTTTTTTTTCAAGTTACTTGCATACAGCTTAAAGCATTTTACGTTGAAACAAATACCTATCCTTTTTCATAATATATTTGACAATACAAATAACCTTCAACAGTAATCAAATTTTCTTCAGTAGCATTTTTAATAAAACTAGAACTTAATACATTTAAAAATTATCATAGGGGTTGGAAACCTCATGGTTCTGCGTGCTTACAGCTGTTAATAATTAAGAACATAAAGTGAACAGCCATGTTACAAATTAGCATTCACCCCTCCCGCCATAATTCTTCCTTTGATCCCGAACTGACGACCCGAGAACCGGCATCTTTCGACGAAAACTTCTTTAATTATGCGAAAATATTTCTATCTATTCGTTGTTAAAAAAATTCAGAAAAAATAATAACAAATAAGAGAAAAATAATATAAATCTCCAAATGCGAACAACGACAACCTTCGCATAAGCGAATAGGATGAATTAGCTAGGTTACCAGGTTTGAACTATTATCGCCAAAGTTGGCGATGTTTACATTTACCGGGTTCTCTGCGGAAGTGCTTCCATTTAGTCTATCGCTTTGTTTTGCTGCACATATCGGATGTTATTATTCTAATGTCTTCTAAAATTCCTTGTTTAATTTCAACGGTATCCAGTGACTTGATTGTGGAAGTTCTTATTAAGCTGAATTAGGACTCTTAAAAGTACAACTCCTCTGGATATATTTATTTGCTCTAGTACCATACACAGTGCGCCTACAAAGTTTTAGAAATTAAGAAATTTAACAAATTCCAGGAAACTTACCAAACGGTAACTGACTAACGATCATTAACATCTCAACTTGATTTTCTTAAAATGTTATTTCGGACAGACTTTTCTATCCAATTAATCACTTGTTTTGATCTAATAAACATTGCTTTCGTGGATTCGGAAGCTAAGAAAAGAACTGCAATAAAATTTTGCTGTTAAACGAGAAAAACAGTAAAGAAAAATGTTGTGCAAAGCCCCATACGACCATGAAATACTAATATGATCCAATGTTTTTTATTGGTACGGAAGATTTCATGATGAATTCGAAGATGCTAATGATAAAACCGAAAGTGATCGACATTCGCAGTCTCGAATTGGATGAAAGTATCAAAAACATTCCACACTTGCAGCTGAAAAGCCGTAACCTGTATCTCCGAATGATAACTGATGGCCCTCAACATCATTAAAGATACTGCTTACAAAAGTGTTGTGGAATATTTATTAAAAGCTTTTCTGCTTTCGAATTTAACCCTTATTTTAGATTAACGTGTCTACTTTCGGCCTACTTTAAAGGGGTAAGTTCTCAAAAAACGCTTAGGTTTTTTAGCATTCAGAATCGTGACGTGACGAGGCAAAACAAAAAGAGAGTGAGAGAAAAGAAAAAAAAAGAAAAAATATGACAGTTCGGTTTTTGGCATTCTAATGATTTGTTTATGTCAATCGCAATGATGCAAACAACTGAAGTTGTAGCTGGCAGTGTTCCAAAACTATTAATTAAGTACTTTCTTATTTCGCGAAAACAAAATCCTCAAAAAGAACTTCAATAATAATACATTTTATTTTGAATGTTTGGGTTCTTCTGTTTTTCTTGTTGCCATTTCGAACTATTAAAATTACTGTAACCTTCACATCAGTTGAAATTACAAAACATATTATAAACATGAAAGAGAGATTATATTTAAATAAATATGAAAATATATAATAAATATAAAAATATGTAAATGTACGTATTAAAGGAAAATAAATTGACACTTCTATTTAACCACTACATTTCCCTCTCAGTAACGAACGTTTGTTTTCCAAAGCAAGAAATAATGTCGAGCAGTTTTTTTTTCTTTTTTCAATAAATTCTGACAGTCTCTGAACCATACAAGAAGTTTAATAGTTCTACCAGAACAAAACTTCAAACATTGTGCATCGTTATGGTGGATTGAGATTTCTTCGCGTTTCCAAAATCTCTCTCTAATTACTGATTCATCTGGATCATTATTTGTTAATTCAGGAGTAACTGTAGGAATTTGAAATACACTCATGTCCATAAATTAAGGATAATTCGGAGTCACGCGGAAATCGAACTCTAAAATAAATATTTCACCTGTAAAATCACTACACACATAGACTAGAAGAGAAACACGCTAATGTGACAATCAAAATCGTAAAATCAACCTTGTATTTAGCGTAAGTATAATGAAACACTCAATCGATTTCGAGGCAGCTAAAGGTCCCTCCTCATCAGGAGAAAGAAATACCTAGAAAGAAGAAAATAAAGGAGAAGGAGTCTCAGAAACACGTGGTCCTTTTCAGCACTGCACGTGGTTATAACTGGATTTTTAATCAGAGTTGCACTGGCGGCCTACTTTTACTGAGCCAGGCTATCTGATCAAGCATAAAGGATAAGAAAAATTAGCGAAGTTAAAATAGGGAGCGAGGGGCAAATGCACCTTCACGCTCAAAATCTGAACTTCAAATAATGGAAAGCAACCACTGAACGGATTTTTATACCCTCTGGTAGTACCAAATGCGAGGAGGTAACGCCATTTATCGGCAAAAATAACTGAATTAAGATAGTAGAATTTTAAAGGCATTAGGAAGGACTGGATTAGACTTCAAATCATTAACTAAACCTGCTAAATGTTTGTGAATGTGAAAAGCCTCAAGAAAATCCAATTCACCTATGGAAGAAGCCTTTTGGATAATTTTTGCAGACCCAAAGTCAAAATTATGGTTAAATGTCCAACTATGATACGCTATTGAAGACTTGTTAATTTCGCCTTTTCTGACATAAGATTCATGATCCTTGATACGAAACTTCAACGCTCTTTTTGTTTGGCCAATATATCTTAAACCACATTGACACGATATACTATAAATTCCCCAAGAATTCAAGACAGAAACGCAATCTTTTAGAATCGAAGGGTGAATTTTATTAATAGGGGAGAAACCGACTTGAAAATTGAATTTCTGGAGAATCCGTGCAATTTTATAGCTAACAGAAGGATAAAATGGAAGCACGACAAGGTCATTAATAATATTTCTAACAGTTCTTTGATAGGAATCTGAAAAATTTTTAACGGCTTTATCAATAATCACGGGAGAAAATCCACGGTCAATCGCAACTGCTTTCAAATAATTAAGTTCATTGGTAAGCAAAGATTCAGAGAAACAAACTTTAAGCGCGCGGAATACATAATAGATTATGTATTATGCATTCCGCGCGCTTAAAGTAGAGCACGTAAGGGACATGCTTGGCCGACGAGTTGCAGCCCGTCAACCTCCTCTTACATGTCTACAGGAAGAACTTCGGAGAGCATTGCTTTTTGAGTGGTGTAATATCCCCCATGATCAGATCGATAATTTGATATTCAGCATGCCTAGGCGTTGTACGGACTGTATTGCATCGTCTGGGAGACATACAATGTATGAACAATCA